ATCGACATAGATACTTTAGCAAAGCTTTCAACAAGTGCTCAACCATCACTTGCTTTTCTCTCCAAATTTGCCGAATACATCATTCTCATAAGGTGTTGATGTACAAGTGATCTTTTCAAAAACAAGGAATCACTTATCACCAAATTTGTACCCTAGATCTACACCGTGTCGCATTCAATACAGAATACACACAATGTGGCTGATGACAACCTTCAAAAAATAATTACTGATGCCCAAGTTTACATTTTAATAACTCACTTCTGTGTTATTCAATCGCAAAATATATTTCTCGAAAGTTGCATTATGAATTTACCCGTTTTTAAGTTCAAAGGGATTTGCATGTGCCAATGTGTCAAAAATTATTTAACTTTATTCAGGACAGATGAATACTACTCACATCAACATCGTCTTCTTCTTTGACAGAATGCTGTAAGGCTTTGGGTTCATCTTTTGCCTGAAAGCAAAAAAAGAGCATTGCTAATAAAAATAATGGCTGTCCATAGAGATGCATCTAAAAACCACTCGGGTAGAACTGTGGTGAAAAAGTAATCAAGATTTCCCTTCAATATCAAACAAAAAAGAAAACAGTTTTACAGGATAAAAATGACATTGTGGTGAACCCATGAACAAATTTTATTTTAATCCAGAGTAGTGATTTATTACAAAAATTGATTGAAACAAAGCAGATGCACATTATTTTAACTCAATGTAACAAGGAAAAAGCGGAACCCAAGATTCCATTAGGCTGGTCGTTACATTATTACGAGAAATGTAATATAAAAGGTTTCGGTTTATTCACCAATAAATGAAAGGTAGCAAGACTCGTGTAACATTTTTAAGGATCGAGGGGGTTCAACATCGCTACCATTTATTTACATATACTTAGTATACACACCTTAGTAACTATTATGTGCAATCTGATTTCAGGTGCTGTAGTAGGACATGTAGAAATAGAAAAATCCCTGCCAAAGCCTGCCTCTTTTTCCTGACAATTTCATGATTTAAACATTGAAAGTACTAATATTATTAAATTACAAGAAGTTGTTGCCATAATTGTTATCATGTACTATTATAATTATTCTATTATAATTATTATTATTGTAAGTAGTAGCAGTATAATAGCAATAACAAGTAAATTTTACTTTTACTTTAAACATGAAATAGCACAAAACTTGAAATGTTAAAAGTATTTTGCTACTAATCAGAATTATCTACTGTATAATATCTTATTCTATCTGTACATATTGTAGTATAATTCCTAGGCCAATGATCCCATGTTTTGTCCAGTTTTCCTGCTCCTTTGAGCAAATGCTGAGACTGCCACTTCTTTTGCTTCTGGACAGTAATGTAACTTCACTCTCTGCACCTAAGGCATCATACTGTCCCGTCATACACGATTGTAATTGTATATGTGACTCAATAAATTATTATTATAATTATTATCATACACAACATCAATTCTCAAAAACATAGTTACTTAATAATAACAATTGAAATACACACATGAACACAATGACATCTACTAAAATTTCCTATATCACACACAAATTAAATACAAAGACTTACACCCATAATCATTCTTTCTTTTTTGCTAGTTCTGCATTACAGAACAATATATTAAAATTTTGGTATAGAATGAAGTGCCCGAATTTTTTTCATGAATATCATAATTTCCATTATTTGGGGTCGATAATACTACTACAAAACTAACTCACAATGGAATTCCAGCAATAGTCTTCTTTCTTCTCTTCTGGCTCTTCTTTGATCTGGGGATACAGAAGAAAACAGTCACTCAAGTTCATCATGTATTTGAGAAACCCCACTTGCCCATGCATCAAGGTGTCACAGGAAGCTCAAACACACTGCTTGTTTTCAGAGTGACAAGAACCAGGAAACTGACTTTTTCTGTACTTGCACTGCTTATAAAATATACAAATTTAAAACGTTTACAAAATATACGAATAATATGCACAAAACACAAGAGTTTTAAATTTTAAAACAGATACGTTTTGAAAGCAATGGGCAGGAATAGATTTTGAAATGCATTACAAAGAAAAGTATTTGCATTATTTCTATTATTTCAAAGCAATTGAAAGAAGATATCTTCTTCACATTGTAGAATGGATGAAAGGAAGTATATTTTGCTCCATGGAGAACGTGCTCATTACGCAAATCTATCCAATGTGAATATAAAATGGTCCCTCGCGTTTCTGTTGTGAGCAAGTTTTACTGCATTATTAAATATTTTATTATTCACACATTTTCACTATTAACATTCTTTTTGAGGCTATTGTTCTAGAATTTTTCGTAACTTAATACATTAATGACTTTTGGAACGTTTCCGGCGTTATTACTAGAAAAAAAATCGCCTCTTTTAATAACCTAAAACAGAAAGATACATATTTTAGACATTTTACTGCACACAAACCTTTTACCGCTCTAATAACGTTAACAACACATGGTCGCTTCAGTTAAGAATTAATGGTGATTATATTTTATACGCGCACATTTTCTTGAGACCTCGCTTTTCTAGTTGCGAGAAGACTGGAGAGTTGTTATTTCAATAAAAGGATTTTTACATCAAAGTGATTCGTTCATACATCGATGCAAAATAGTTTCTATTACACGGGAGAGAACTTTTCAGCTTATCAGATTTTGTGTACAACTCTTGTTGCTAAAATTTTATTTAATTCAACCAACACTGGCAAAGGAGTGGATGTAGATATTCTGGGGCTCAAGAACACGTACGCCTTTAATACTTGCCACTTCCTAGAAGATGTAAAAGTGTGTAATCATACTATTATCATATGAAGCGCGCACAGATGCATCAGCTAATATTGTGCAAACATATGAAACATTTTGTATGTATACAATAGAAACTTATAAAACAAGCAGAAATTCTTTACCTGATCCACTTTTATAACCCTGGCCGCTACAATATCTGTCTTTTCCGTCGCCATGAGAACCTGTCAACAGTAAAATGTTATATTTCGACACATTCCATCAGCTATGATCGGCAGCAACCACAAAGCAGGGCTACCAAACTACGTGTTAATTCTCGCGGCTAGCGTTAGTGCTGCGATCGAACGGGTGGTACGCCAACTAAACTGAGTGGTGGTGGGGACAGTACCATGGTGGGCGTAATGACGTAAGATATTTCCACCAATTAGATGCACAGTATTGTTTTGACATTCACTTTAGCGTAATTTACAATTAATTTTAGGATTCTATAGGAAATATAGATTACACTGTCATGGAAGTGACTCAGGATAGCAAACAACTTAATAATAAAATTAAATGACACAGATTTATTAACATTAAATCGGAAAAACAATGGTAAATTTTTTTGAAAATATAATAATTCTACAAGTAATACATTATTATAAATATTGATTTTGCAAATAATAGCAAAACATCACAAATTGACAACAACCATGTAGTTACTTAATAGAAATCTGAACAATAAATCAACATAATATCTATTATGAAAATACTTGATCTCGAAGTGCCTCTGGAGAGAAATCTTCCATCAATCAATATTGAAATGATTAAAAATTCACTTGCTATTACAAACTACTGAAGGGAATGAAAACTGTTTCATGATATAAAAAAATTATAGTATTGATATTCCAATTATGTTTAACTGTCTAGTGTTTCCAAGCATTGCAAAGACATTACTTATGAAATTGCAATAAAATAACTAGTACATGACAATAGTGATTTCCAAATTAATAAGTAATAATATATCAAGTAATTACTATCATCCGCCAAACTTTATTGTCGATGACAATTCAAGTAGGCAAAAAGGTAGCTCTCTATTTCACTGCTTAGCAATAGCAATTAACGTTACATATTAAGCCAATGGTTTCAATACTATCTTTGAAATTCTTCTTTAATTAGTGTACTTCACAAAACATTTTAATAGGAAAGCCATGTAAAACGAACAATTCTTTTGAAGAATTAAATAGTTTCATACACTGTAGTCAGAATCTTTGTTGTCTTACACAAAGTGCAATAGATTAATATCTAAAACGATAAAGAGTTTCGAATGAAAGTTCCTTTTTAGTTACGTATATTAGTCTATTCTTGGAGATGGAGGAACTGGTAGGGGTGCGCAAACAATTGCTGCCGCCGCTCAATTCCTTGTTTGCAACATTGCTGCTGGTGGTGGCTGCATTACTGCTGCTTGCCCCTAAGCAGTAAGCAACAATGTTGTTGCCAGCAGGAACAGTGTCCATTGTTGAGGCACTTAGGAGGATCTCAAACCTCATATTGCTCCCCCTCCTCCGAACAATTTCCTCCGTCTTCTCCGCATATTCAAATGGTTTGTGGCCCCTGCCCGTCGATGACTGGTTGTCCACATATTTCTTGAAATTCCTTTCAAGAACCCGCCATCTGTTCTCACAGTGGTGAGGGTCATATTTTTCCCTGCTCCATCAGGGAGTTGGATATTGCTTCCCACATCTTCCTCAGAATTTTAAATTTGTTCATTTTTGATTTAAAATCTTTATATGTATTAATCGACAAGATTATGTCATGACGACACCACATCTTACTATATCCGTTACGTACTGTATCCCTCAGTACGTAACGTTCTTACGCCTTGAAATGTGAATAATGGGATGATAGGATGAAGGGTGAAGGGGCAATCAAAAATACGACCAGGCCTACGTAGGATTCGAACCTGCAGCGTCCTCGGCGCAAATTTTCCTGGCGCTGCCGCAACCGTCCTCGCCACGGGGACAACTTATTTTAGTTATAATTATTTTAGTTGCCACGCTCGAGATCAATTCAAGCGCGCACGCACGTAGCTGCTACGTAAACCTAACTGACTGGTTGAAAGGAAAGAAAGAGCATGAAGTTTGGCATTCCAATTTTTTGGAGAGATCTGTAAGTCACCTGGAAGAATTCCTCTCAAAAGCTGAAGGCTTCTTAAAAAGCCAGAAAGGTAAGATAGATTATAAAAATGAGCCATTAGCTCGTGGGTCGGTTCAGGATAACGAAAATGTGCTAGTTCCAACACTTGGATTTATTCTCGGTTGCCTCTAACGTAAATCAGCTGTTACAATGTTATCCAATCGGAAGTTTAAACCAACAAACTGATGTCACAGAAATGACGCATAAAGTTCTAATTGGATGGTGCCATAACAGGTGATCATTTGTCAGAAGCAGCTCTAAGCCATCATGTGAATCGAAAGACATCAAACGACAAATTAAATTCCGACAGTGAAAATCCAGAATCTGTAGTGATACATGATGATCGTAGAACCCCCAATATGCGTCATTTTATTGAGGGAAATAAAATCAATGATCTTGTTCGAGATCTATCCAGAGGCACAAACTTTCCCGTATTAGTTTTCTATTTCCTTTGGATTCAGCTAGCTATTAGGAGTTGACACATTCTTTTGCCACCTGCGGCTTTAAGTACATTTTTTGACATTTTCTAAATTTTTCAGTGTCGTAATAGAACGCAAATATTATTTGAAGAATATTAAAGAACAGTAAAACATCGTCATAAAAGGCAATTTTCTTTGAACAATTTGCACTATTTTTTAATAAATGGCAGTGGGTAGACTTGGCCCTATAGGGAAACCACGTGACGTCACAGCGATTCTGCTCGTCGACGTGCAGGGTGTTCTGCAGGTGAAGTCGTTCGTCTGTAAGTGGGGGCCAGCCGCTGTTCACGGTCGCTCCACACTACCCGTCCGAAGGACCGCCCGCCCGCGGGACAACGCGTCGTCGGCGCCCTTCGGCTCTTGGGGTGACAAGGCAGACCCCATCGCGTACGAGAACGTCCGCCTCAAGCTCTGATAGAGCCCGCTGCATCTGCGTGAAGGACTTGCAGACGGTCGGCCGGCTGCTCCCTCCTCCTGCACGTTCGTCGATATGGAGAAGTGGCGCTGTCCACGCCCAGACACCTGTGTGGCACGCACTCTCACGCCTCACCTCACCCTCTTCCATCAGCTGATGCACGCTCAGCTCTGGGCCACGGTCATGCCGCTGCACCGACTCCTCTTGCGAGCGCGCGGTCCATCGACGGTAACGGCGTCGGTGTTATGAAGCACGCGGTTCACGTCTGCTCTTCGTACTCTCTCCATCGTGACGGAAAGGCATGTCCACTACGTCCAGGGTCGCAACGACTCCAGCGCCGCCATCAATCAAGCGCTCATGCCCTTCGTGCAAATGGACAAGGCCAATATACCCCTCTCCCAATTTCCTTCGCACACCTTTCCAAGCCGGGCGCACTGCCCTCGTGCTGCGCCGCTTGCAAGAAGGATCGGACACCGCTGGAGCATGCGACGCGCTTCCAACAGTGGCCGACTGCACGGCCACCCCTCCAACACGGAAAGACGATGGAAAGACGTGGACGGACATGAACGGCATCTGGTGGAACATGTTCACTTCGGCGACGTGTGGGAAGCTTACAGGTGTCAACAGCGGGAACGTCTGATGAACAGACATTGCGACACAGTGAATGCTTGACCGAT